AATTTTGATTTAAACCATTCTATTTCACAAAATAATCTGTTGTCAAATTATTTTTAAAAAATATTAGAGGTTTCAGGATTTCAAATGAACACTTTTTTTATTTTGTCCAAACTAATAATCATGGAAATAAAAATGCTAGAAAGTTGTTTTTCGTGTTCGGTTACATGTGTGAGCCACTGTATTATCATTTTCAGAAATCGAATCAGATTGAATTGGTTAAAAAAAGTTTAAACTGTAGTTATTTATCATTATTAATATTATAAATAAAATTAAGCTTATTAAAGATAATACAATATTTGCAATTTATCAAGAAATTGATCAATTAATTTGCTTAATTTATAATTAAACAATTTGCAACTTGATTAGTTTGATTTTTCTGATGGATTTCAACAAAATCCATTAGACAAGTAAAATCAATTTTGAACTAAAAATTTTTAATTAAAAAACAATATAAATAATAATTCTAAAATTTATACAAAATTTAAAATATTTAACTTTATTTAATATTAAAATAAAATAAAATATATACAAAATCAAAAATATAAACTATAATCTGAATTTTATATATGATAAATATTAAAGTATTATAAAAATATTAAATATATACTTTTTATAATAAATTTCTGTATTAACTAATAACTTATATTTTAATTTGAAAGTATTTTCTGTTTTCAAAGTTAAATTGATATTTAATTATATTTTAAATCTAAATAATATAAAGCAAATATATAATTAAACATAAGTTATCATTTTTATTTTAATACGAGAAATTATTTCATTTTTATTATGATTCACTATTAAATTTTTTGATTTATTGTTGGAATGTATATATTAAAAATTTATTTTACTTTTGCTAAATTTCATGATTCTTTTTTATCTTTAATATCTTTAGTGTCAAATACTTTAAAAACATAAGAAATGAAAATGATCTTACTTATATAATTATTTTTTATCTTTTGCTCCGAGCTTCGCAATTTGAAGTTTGCCGATTATCGTGGCGTTTACAATTTTTAACCCCTTTCGGAACTCATGAAATATTTCGAAATTTTAGACAATTCAAAAATATTATTCCTAAAGTAACTTTGACCAGTTCATTTAAAATCGTAATTCATTTAAAAATCGTAATATCTTTTCAAAAAATCCATTATGCTACACGAAATATATTTATTTAAAACGAATTTATAATATAAAAAAAAACTTTAAAAATCCATTCAAAAGAAATTCATGCAAAATAGTCATCAAAATCTGTTTCATCATCGTCGTCGCTAACATTTGCTGTTTCCAATTCAGCCTTTTCATTAATTTTCGCAAAGAAACTTCTAACAAAAGTTTCAGGATCAACTCTAATAACCACTTCCTCATCATCCAAAACTTGTAATTTATGCATTTCACCCATCAAATGGCTCTTCACCTCCTCATAATTCCGTAATTTAACTTCATTTTCCTTTACTTTCCCAACATTTTTTTCCTTTTCGTTCGAATTTTCTACTTTCTCTTCTTCTTTGACGTCCAACTTTCTTTGGTCCTCTTTCTCTTCCGGGTCCACCATCTTTCTATTTCTATAACACAAGCGACACTGGAATATTTCAAAATCGGTCATCAAAAGCAACACAGCTTCTTTAACAGTCAGAAATAGCGCAGGTTCCTCTTGAACTATAATCGCTTCACGAGTCAATCGAGGTAATAACTTGTTGAAAATGAATTTCTCATCATATTTCACTAGAGGATCACCATTTATTGTGGGCAGATTTCGAAAAGAAGGACATTGCGAAAGAAGAAATTCCCTGGGCTCATAGAAAAATGAAGAAAATTTCGGAATTAAATGACCTGTTACAGAGTCTCGTGAGATATCTGTTGTTGTTATTGTTTGAATCAACGATGGACAATTCTGCTCTAGTACTGCAACCATAAATGGTTTGGTGTCGGGTTTCTTTGTAAATGACTCGAGGGTAAGTTTTGCGGCAATCTCAGAATTTGACGGGAAATAAGGAACTGGCCAAAGTAATCGAACCCATGCGATTATTTGAAGACGCTTTTGACGATAGCTATCGTCAATTAATGCGATTTGAAGTTCCTGCTCCGAGAAGGAGGATGTTGATGTAAAAGCAGGAGATGCAGGTGTTTGAGGAAGTTCAATAGGTGTCGATGTTTGAGAATTTTCACGGAATGTTGTTGTGATTTGAGAAGAATTTGTTGATGTTGGATCAGCTGTGTTGTTGATGTTTTTGTCATTTTCTGCATTTGTACTTATATCGTTTTCTGTCGAAACCAAAACTTTTTTTTTCCCGCCATTAATTTCATGTTTTTCATCATTAATCAAAGATCTCTTTGCTTCGTCACCAGAATTATCTTCTATTTCCACATTCTCTCCCGTTTCACCATTTTTTATACCTTCTATTGATTCTCTTCGTTTTTCTTTTTCCAATTGTTTTTGTTTTTTCTTGATAAGACTCTCGTAGCTAATAACCATTCCATCGCCATCCGAATCTTCGAAATCAATACTCGATGATGATGACGATAATGATGAAGGTGATACAAGCTGTTCATTGTTGTTATTTTCATTGATTGTATTGTTGGTGACTTTTGCTGTATTGGTGTTTCCGTTGTTGTTAATTGTATATGTATTTTGTGTATTATTCCACAACGTTTTCGCGGTAGTTGTCGGTGTGGTTGTGGCAGTGGTGGTATTCGAAGCTGTAGATGTCGATTGTGTTGTTGATGACATTTTTTTTTTATACAAGAATATTTATTTATTATAGGTGAAAAAAAAGATAATTTTCGTTTTATCAAATTAATAATTTATCGTAATCTGCTATTGTATTTTAACTCGTTTATTTGTTGGTGTATTTGTTTAGTATTTTAAAAACTCAAACTTTTTTAAGTAAAAATAGTAAAAATAAAAAACATTCAAGTGGCCAGTCAATTCAATCAACAAAATGATGATCTTATATTCGATAGTACATGTATTTTTGTGTTTCGTTATTATCGTTATGAAATTTTAATCACATGATAAGCACTAAAATGTGTGTCGTTGAATGCAAAATCTCGTTCCTTTAGATAACGAAATTGCAGCGTAAATCTTTTCAGGTAGATTATTAAATGCGCATCCAACATATTCACCATCATAAGAAAATCCCACAGTACGTTTATTCATATCAAGGTGAACTGTAACCACCATTCCACTGATTAACCTTTTCCCATATCTTTCTTTACCCGGATACTTGTACCCCTCGGAATTCACACACCAACTTGGAAGCGAATTCGAATCGCCCAACGATTGAGTACTATTTCTAGATGGCATGGACGCGATCCCAATTCGTCCCCTAACCATTTTCTCGACTACGATATTCCACTCGTAAATACCACGGTCCAAAAAACAATTACTTGATGTGATGGCGCGACATGTCGCATCTTTTGGCGCTTCAGCCGTTTGACTATCGATTAAAAATTCTGATGGGTCCCATCGAAGATTATCTAGTGGTGAGAGTCCACGTGTAGGATTGAATGGGATTAATGCTAATAAGTGATATTGATAGGCGTCGGCTAGTACTGTGTCGGGGATAATTCGCATCGGGTGAATTACTTTAGCAATAACCATTGGATCGAAAAGGTTTAAATTGATGAAGGGTAAAAATGGGTTCAGAATTTCGAGTAGTTGTTGCTGAATATCGTCCATATTCGAATTTCTTGCACGCCATTGTTGGTTTGTATTGTAGAATGATAGTTCGGCTTCTTGGAAGTGAGATTTAACTGTCTCAAGAGCATCTTCTGATATTTGATTAGCCGCCCATTCAACAACATAACGGAAAACACGATATTCCGAAGTTGCAAAATATCTTAAGGTTTTTTGCGTTTGGGCCAACAAAACTTGTAAACTAGTACTCGAAAATTTACTATACTCTATGTTTGCGCTATTCAATGGAGTTGCGCCAATATAACTACACAACAGTTTATACAAATTATTATCAACTAGTGATAATTTATCAATTGCGCGTTCCAATAACGCCACCAATTCGTCAAAATCATCATTTTTGATCAATTCCTCGGCCACCGTGACGATTCTTGTTTCCAAATCACCAAGCAGAAAGTAATTCGCGGCGTGAAAAGCATCAACAATTTCACTCTTCTTTAGTGATTCCAATGTTGACTGCACATTCTCGCTGGTGTATATGTATTCCAGGGTTATTTTCATTGCTGATGTGGTAATTGTCGGAAACTTTAATTCGTTACTAGATGTTTCTTTCATCCCATTGTAGAGAAGATTGTAGAAATATTCGGAACGTGCTCCAAGAATTGCTCTTTGTGCGTACAAAGGCTCTGAATCATTCGCATTATTGTTGTTATTAGTATTACTAATCCCAGAGGAAGAAAAGTTACTGCTATTGTCGTTGTTGTCATCGTCGTCATCGTCTTTAATAGTGGAATCATTATTATGGTTGTAACTTTTGGTGCCACATTGTATTGTTAAATCACTAAACATTTGATTATTCACCAAGGATTTTAAATCATTTGCAAGTGAATATCCTCGCAACATCTTGGTCGATTGATTTGCTTGGTTGTGGAGAAAATAATATATGTAGATTACCCCCCACGTAGAATTACCCCTTATTTTTGTATCATATTACCCCGAATGTGATACAAAATCTTAGATTCTAAATGAGTATGTATAAATGTATAACGATAACGACGGAACTGCCATTTTCGGTGTGTTTATGATCCATATCTAACCCTTTCCGACCCATATCCGATGTATATACAGTGCTCGTCAGAAGTAACGGACCTCCCCATAACTTTCCATAGATCATGTGTAATGTTCCAAAATTTTCCGAGCACAAAGAACATTATAAATGCTGATCATGATACCTTTTATTATCATAAACTTTCATGGCCCCAAATACAATAATCGGTCACTTTAGAACATAATATCTCGACGTCCAGAGATCCGATTTGAGCAAAAATACTACCATTTGATTTTTCTAGATTAGACAAATCGA